AGAGACTTGCTGGGTCCTGCCTCCTGCATGGTCCCAGTCAGATCTCACCATTTCTTTTTTTTCAAGGTTTTGAGCACAGCCTAGCAGGACCGCTGTTTTGGCTCCATATAGCAGCAGGCATAGGGCAGCTCATAGCTGGCGTAGAAGCTGATGTAGATTCTTCCTGGTCATAGAATCACAGAGTTGGACATGACTGCTAGGGTTGCCTCCTGCAGGCCTTTGCACAGATGCTTGTCCAGCTTCTGCTTGAAACCCCTGAAGGAAGGAGTCAGATGAGCTAATTGGGTTGATCTGAGGGATGTAATCCTGCCTTTGAAAGCAGAAGAACATCCGTTAGGCTTTGGCATCTGTGTGGAGAGTCAGTAGCTGGGCTGTTGGAAAAGCCAGTGACAGACTGGATATAGATATCAAAGCTGTCTTCCTAGTCTGCTGAACTCTGTGCCTTTGCCAGTAGTGGGTGTTGGGGTGCTATCACTTGTGTGTTTCCAGAGGCTGATTACCTTCATGGCAGAAGAGTAATATTAACATTACCTAGCTTCATGTAGCGCTGTCCATCAGTAGCTCTAAAAGCGCTTTCTAGGGGAAGCAGGGCATGACCTCCCACCACACTGTCCTCAACACTGTCCTTGGAGCTGGTGTGAGGATTTCTTCTCTGCCTGCTCTTCTTGTAGCAGGGTGCAGTGGAGGAAAGGGCTGTAGGAGTCACCCAGGGCTGCTTTTATTGTGCCTACTGAAAGCCTGGAAGACAGTGGAGCAGCTTGCTACCCCCAGCATGGTGCCATTCCTTGAACACTCCAGCACAGACCTTGGGGAAAATCTCCCCCAAATCCCCATGAGGATCCTGTGCCATGCTCTTCCTTCAGCCCTCATTGGCTTTCAGGGCAGGCTGGGAGGCAGTGCCACATGTTATGACCTGATGCGATGCTGAAAGAAAATTTAACCTGCAGCCAGGTTTGTTCCATCCTGTGCTATCCTGGGTTTCCAGAGCTTGACCCCACAGGGGGGCCATGTGCACACTGGATCTGTGCAGCTCCTCATGCCTGGTGGGTTGGTGGAGAGCTCGCCAGTGTTGTAACTCCTTGAATATTCCCCACTTCACAGATAAAGCTGCCTACTTTCACTTGTTCTTGAGTCTTCCCTGCTTTTAAGCCACTTTCTTCATTGCCTGTTTTTGATAATTAAATGAGAAAAGTCTTTTAACTCTGCCCCTCAGGCTCTTATTTTTCTCCATCTGTTGTTTTACCTTTGTGTAACCAAGCCCCGTGTGTCTGTTCACCGTGGCTGCTTCAGCAGTTGCTGTTACCTTCATATTTGAACACCTCCTAATCTTTAAGGCATTTATCCCCACACCACCCCTAGGGGGCAGGGCAGGGCTCTTGTTGTGCTTTACTGATCGCAAACTGAGAGACGGGTGTAGTGCCCAAGGTCCCACAGGCAATCTGTAGCAGAGCAGGGAATTGACCCTGTGTCTTCCAGTACCCTAACAATTGGCCCTCCTTCCCCTCTATTTCCTATATGCCCCCCCTCCCCCACCTCCAATAACAGAAGACACTTCAGTCACTTTTCTCCTCTAAAACCTGGAAGCCAGGCCTTTTTTACATTGCCAGTAGGAAGGTGATCAGGAGAGTTGGATAAGCAGCACTTCTTAACCTGGAAGCCTGATATTCAGATATGTTAAATGTTCCTGGGAGTGCCTGGCCCCTCACAAGGATGATTTATTGGTTTCTCTCAGTCCCTCCATGAGGCAGGGCACAGCCCAGGTTGGAAACTGAGGCCCAGATAAATGGGCTTGGTTTGCACACCTTATCTGTGTTCTACACACCCTGCCCCTCCCTGGCTTAGTTCTGTTGATATAAGTTGTCATGTAGGTCATTCCAGCAAAACAATCCTTCAGCTCAGGGCTTTCTTAGTTGCTGGGGTGAATGTGGGGACAGGCTGCACCAGCAGGGGCCATGGCCATCATCTCCCCAACTGCAAGCTCCTCGGGCAGGGACAGGAATTGAAAGCTGGAGAAGGGGAGCCTGGACATCCAGCAGCTGGAGCTGGGGAGAGAGAGCCTGAGAGCTGCAGATCACTACAATTGTGGGCTTCAGCGGCCTGTGGGCTGGAAGTTGGACAGCCCTGCTTTAGCTGATTTAGCTTAGTCTGGTTATGGAGCTTGTTCTATTGCCAAACTGTTGCTGGGATGACCTTTGTCTCTCCCTCATCCCTGCTCTGCCCTGGGGGTACTGCTGTGGCACTACACCTCTAGCAGCTCCTTTTAAATGCAGATAATCACCCCATTTTACACAACAGGGACCCATAGAGGTGAAGTGACTTCCTCAGGTCCCAGGAGCTCTCACCCTAGGTCATGTTCAGGATTTAGAGCTAAGCCAGGAATGGGGCTGGGGTGTCCTGTCCCAATCCACTGTCTCTCCCCTGTATGTATAAGCATCTCCCACCCTCCTTTCCACTTGCCCTACCCTTTTATCATGGGCCTGATCAGCTGGCTGTATCATAGCACCTGGGGCTTTCATCCCAGTCTCCTGGATCCCTGAACACCTCCTCTGAGGGTCTAATAGTATGTCAAGGGTGCAATGCACAGTCATGGTACCTAACCAGGCTAGCTTGAGCTCCTGCTTTGGAGACTTGCTGATGCTCATAGATGCTCTTAGACTTGCTGCTCTTTTACTTAGCCAGAGAGAGGTCTCTGGGATTTTGTGACAAATAGGGAAATACAGGCTTGCTGGCTAATTGTTTCACTGTTGTGGATGCTGGGGAGGAATGAGGCTGTTTGGGATCAGGGGCAAGATTTTCAAAATGATTTGACTTGTACTTTCCAAAGTTGCTTATGCTGTTAGAAGCCCAAGTGCCCCTGAGACCCCTCATCACTGCAGGAAACTGCCCCGTGACTGCTGAGTCACGTGGCTTCTTTTGAAAATGCTGCTCTTGGTCTGTGATGTTTATAGCTGGGCCTTCCCAAGAGCTTAAAAGAGGAGGGGGGAAGGCTCCAGGGACAGTTCAGTGCCTATCCTCTTATGAATTCTCTGGCTGGTGTCTGAAGCTCAGCGTTGTTTCAGAGCAGCTTTCCATACTAGTAAGAACAAGGCAAGGAGACAGGGCTGACCATCCAAGCCTTAGAAGCAGCAGAACAGTGAGACGTCTTGGAAAGGAAGCCAAAATGCTGTGGAAAGCTTTTCTACTTGATCAGTTCTTCTGCACACTGCATAGAGAGCTCCGCACAGACTGAACAGCTTTCCTGGAGATGCACATGTAGGGGGGACAAAGACTAGCTCTTCTATAGGATTTGAGATGAGGATATCACTGCACATGATCGTTAATGAAGCCTCACGGTCCCTTCTGAGGCAGGTCTGGTTTTAAGTGTGGGGAACCAGGCACAGAGCTGGGGAGCGACATGGCTGAGGTCACTGGGAGGGTTAGCGTGGTCTGGTTTGGGGTCTCCTTGTTGATCATCCCTTTGGGAAGCTACAGGAAGCTGCTCTGTGCCTAGCTCCCCAATATGGGCTCTGTTCCTTCTCCACCTCCTTTGGTTTGCAAAGGGTTGCCCCCTGTCTAGCTCCACTCAGGCTGGTGTGCTGTGCTGGGGTTTGCAGAAGGAGTCTGGGATGGCTTGTGCGTGGCTCACCAGCTCATAGGAGTCCCGGAGATCAGACAGCCCAAACCAGAAGAAAATCCACTGGCAGTGGGAGAAGCTCCCATCACTGTGCTTGAAATACCTGGTGGGGACAGAGTGAATGCTTGCTCCCAAAGCTCTACGGTTCCCTAGAGCAGCAAGTGCAGCCTTTTTTTTTCGAGATAGGGGAAGGTCAGAGTGGGCCCCAGTATATTGCACTAGGCACTTACAGCATCCAAGCTAGGCATGGGCATTGATTAATTTAACTTGGCAGCACGCTTGTCACTAGCAGGATAGCAGAAGGGACTGTAGGCCAGGGGCAAAGGTAATCTGTAGGGGGGTAGGAACCTGGGGGAGTGGGAGGGAGGAGCCAGGTGCAAATACATGAGCGTAGCACAGGTTTGGTATAACTGGAGGTGGGGTGGGGTCTGTCCTGCGATGCACAGGCAGAGCAGAGCAGTGTAGACCATCGGGGGAGGACCAAGGGGCATTGGTAGAGCTGTGTACTGGAAGCCTCAGAAGGAAGGGCTGGTGGCTTTGTGTTGGGAGTGACATCATGGGAAGTCCAAGAGAGGGATGGGGCCTTCAAGACAGGACTGAGGGACACAAGCAAAAGTGGGTGCTGGGCTACCCAGAGCTGGAAAAAAGGGGGTTGTGGGGGTAGTGGGTCCCAAGCCAGGTCCAGGGCATGTAAAATCAGAGCCCAAGGCACCATTGTAGCTCTGCTGTCATCCCTAAGAGGTAGCATACCCTGCAGAGACCCTTCTGTGGGTGCCAGGACTGGGCTGAGGTCCCCAATGCTCCACTTACCAGGGGTTAATACGGTTGGTGATACGAGATCTCCAGAAGAGGACATGGAGGTCCTGCCGGATGCACTCCCACAGTGCTTGCCCACAGCCCTGGCCCTTCTTGCTAGCGCTGACCACAAACTTGTCCAGGTAGGGCGTGCTGCCCAGCACTGACTCCTCCGTGACAATGGCAGCTGCATTGTAACTGCAGGGTGAGGGCTGGCTAAGTCAGATGGGGCCATGGCATTCCCAGCCCACCCTAAGACAGGGGCAGGGGTAGAGGTAGCAGCAAGCATGTGCCTTTTCCCTTTCCTGGTCTGCAAAGAGGCTGTTGATCACTCCCTCCACCCCACCCCTTGCCAGCTCTGCCCTGCTATGGACCTGCTAGCCAGTGGTGCTGTGGGGGGTGTGTAAGAGCTGCAGGAACTCACACTTTAGTCTGGGAAATCCTTGCTATCGACCAAGTGTCCAAGTGGCCCAAGGGTTTGGATCCGGCTGGATGGGCAGAGCCAGGCCAGCTGTGATGCCTGGATCTTGCCCCTTGCTACAAGTGCATCTCTCAGCCCTGGCTCC